CAATTTATATTTTGCCATCGGTCACCTGTGACTCTTTCCAATACAGAATTCGAATGGGATATTGAATTTGCTGTAGAGCGCGTAATGCATTGTTGGTACACAACGTTTATAGGCCACCGGACTCCACGCAAAACTTCACAATTTACACTTACCTCATGTTGTATTTTCACTCCACCATTTTCTCATTTTCTGTTTTCTTTCGCTCCCCATCTAGCTCGGATGGGAGGTCGATTTCTCGGATCCATTGGAGCCGACCTCACATGCGAGCAACCGTGTTCATGAAGTCCCAACGACAGTTCCTAGTACTACTTGTTCCCAATCGACAGTTGCGTCGTTTCGTGGCCACCATCGCACATGGAGTGCTGATGTGGGTTGTATGAGCCGTGTGAATCCTATTTTTGTTAAGACTGCTTTGCCTCACTGGCCAGATACCGATGAGGTGAGCGAGTTTTGTCAAACCTTCTAATCCTGACACGAATGGTTTTACATGAGAGTAATGGAGGATTTGATTCAATTTCAAAGGGGGGAAATTCTTCGTGTATATCTCAGATGAAGCGTGGCTTTTGACGAGACTGCAACTTTACGTGGTGGGATGGTTTGCGTGGCTCCATGACCCTGCAAGCTATACAGGATGAATCCTCACAGCCGCAAATCCAACCATGCCTGAAAGGTCAATGGGTAAAGGCCAGATGAAGATCTGTCTCACGGGACCAGCTTCTTGAGCATCTAATGGCTTCCTTGGACTATTCACTCCCTCCCCTTGAGAGGTCACTTCAGCAAAAAGAAACACGAGGAGGGGTAGTTTACCGTAGGAGCGGGATACCTGGGGCTTCCTGTCGACGGTGGGAGAAGTCTTCGCACTTAATTGGACAGTTACCGCCTGCCGAAACTGGGGAGCCCCCAGTAAATAAGGTGCTGTCCCGTCCACGTTCCGCTTGTCTCATTGGATGCATGAGGCTAAAGGCCGATCCCGAAAAGCGGACCGCCAATCAACGCACCAGCGAACAATACACTGAACTGAAATCCAAAGATCTTGCGTGACGAGTCTCCAGAAGCTCCCACACGGGTGCTTCGTTCACGTTCGCGCGTTGTATTTACACCCCACTACCTAGTGAGGCAGGATTTTGAGTCTGAGGCTGCAGTTAGGGTTCCCAAATAAAACCCCGTTCGTCGGTGTGGGCAACCGCGAAGTATGTCGTGCCCAAAATTCTTAGGCACTCAGTTGGAAAAACCTTTCTTATCTGTCTACTTCTTCTTGTCGCTCCCAAACTTTAGAGAATGCATCCTGTTCGCATCATTCATCGAATATCACTCAGCGTTTAACTGAGGAGGCCACCACTCAGAAGCTATTGGATTTTTGAAACCAAAATCTCCCTTTCACATAGCCGCGTTCAACGTCCGCACACCATATCAGATCGGTCAACAAGCTGCCTTGGCCAGAAGCTGTCTATCTTCCGCTTGAATTTGCTCGCATCATTCCAATATTAATTCTGCTCTTTTATGCAAATAGGTGACCAAAAGACAGCAACCAAAACCGGCTCACGAAAGTACATGGTTCATGATTCTAAGAACTCAAACTGTTCATAGCAAATTTGTCCGTTCCTTTAATCTCTTGATCATTGAATCGTGAGGAATGCTACAATTCGTGGTAATTATTGATTTTTCATGAGCCGCTTTTCGAATCGATTAGTGGTTTCTTATGCAAGAAAAGGCTTTCTGAAATTTCAGTTCCATGAATTTTTCATTGCCATCAACCTTACACTTTTGTTCACCCGGTTTTGATTGATATCTCCCCATGTGGTCCACCAGTAGAGTAGTAGTAAGAAAAAGAATTCAAATAACAGACTCGTACCGCAGAGAGGTCTACCGAATTCAGATATGCGCAGAAAGTGAGTCGGTCCGATCACATCAGGTCGGCACCGATAATTTTCTCACTATGGTCAGCCGCGGCTATCATCGCACAGTGAAAGTATCCTATCCAATGGTATTCGACAAACTTGCCAGAGTCGCTCCAATCCAGGGACGTCAAACACCCCAGCTGTGGAATTGTTAAATATTCACCTTTCGAATGTCGCTTTTGTGCTCGACAGTGTTTTGACCTTTACAACCCTGCGAACGTATTTGATTCATAACCAACCAACCGTCTCGCAACGCAAGTTATTCGTTTGAGTTGTAGCCCATCGGGAATCCGGCGAATACATCTATAATTGAGAGATGTTACTCAGATTCTCTTCTCTATCCAGTGATCAGTAATCATTATTTATTTGGAACCGTCACTGTGTTTTCTTGACTAACAATCTTGTTTGATCATGGGTGTCAATCTAACTGGAGATAATGATATTGCTTAGGTTTCTAGCGCACCTGTTTGACCTGGTGCTGTTGTTCGATTTCATCAGTATTATTGAAATTAATTTAGTAATGGATTCTGGTCAGAACTATTGGGTGATAATGACGTTTACAACTGACAGACTTGCCACTTTAGATCAGAGCACATAGTTAACTGACAAGTTCCACCATGAATGTAGTCCGTGGGTCAGCTTTACTGACTCTCAGAAAGTTGGAATTTGATTCTCACTACTAATGAGTAGTCGAATGTTTACTTCTATCAGACTCATTTCACTTCGGTTAACACTCACTCCGGTAAGCACAGTCAAACAACAGCAACAACAAAGCGGTTGTATAGGATATCGAAAAAAATGAGTACATAAATTAGATCAATTATAAATCAGGATAGCGTGGAGGGCATTTAGAAGGTCATGTGAACAACCACGGTAAATGAATGAGTGCGTGGGTGATGTATATGACAATGCCTTTGATCGTTAATCTTGATCCTGACAGTAGATATTTTGACAACTCCAGTATCTGTTTTCCGATTTACTATTACCAGACCTTTGGGTCTTGAGTATGCAAACATTACCACGGTGTCCGTTGAGCACTGAAAGATGACCAAATTATCACAGTTTTTGTTATTTTTGGCTATACTAATGCCACAATTACATATTTGAAATCAGCCAATTAGATCAACCGAGGCTGGTCTGGCGGTAATGCATGGGGCTCGGAATCTTGTTGCTGTTCTGCTTAACCTCGATGGGCTACAGAAGTAAACTTATCCCATTGTGGTTTGCTCAGTTATTGCTTGAACACTTAAAAATGGGAAAGATTCACGATTCATCCCAGTTATTTCTCGGGGTGCGCTCCTCCGACCAAATAGTTCGACGTAAACTAGGAATCATGTTAACGAGAGAGTCACCTTCAAGATTGAAAATAATAAGAAAAAGCTCATGTGGTCCAGTTCCCTTCCTTTCTTTGCCGATTAGATGCAGCCCTGTACTTCTAATTCTGTTGAGGGTTCACATGTTACTGCCCACTGCAATCATTGTACTAACCGCACTAGCACCGGGCCAGTTGAACTATTCACGAATATACTCTGCTCGACGATCATGGCTTCCTGACTATCCACTTTTATCGCCACTCGTTTTGCTACTGCCATTGTAACCTAGCGTTCCTGAGTGCTAGCTTTATTATTGCTTGGCTCACTTCCACGGCCATCATAGTCAGGTCTTACTTGATCCGGCGCTTAAAATCCCAAGACTTTTATAATCTACTGTCCTGACCAAAAAGCAATAGATTCTGCCGAGAAAGGTGTAACAAAGAAGTGAGCAGTATCGTAGGTCCCGGATGGGGGGCTCCTGGGTGCCCATCATCTCGTGTTGGAGTGGCTTATTATCAGATGGTCTAAAATATGAAGAATGTTTTCGTGATAGCTGAGACAGATACAAAGTGCCCAACATGATACTGTTAACGCCAACCTTTTCTGCTATTTCACAGTAATCAAACCACCCAAATCGAACTCATGTGATTTGTTGTTGATGCAACTCATCATGATCGTCGAGAGAAACGGAACTTATTTGGATTCTTCTTTTACCTAACTGTGAAACTGTTTCAGGCGATGTCCACCCGTACGCCATTGTATACTATTCACCTCGCACACGGTAGACAAATGACGATTATAAAGCCCATCACATCACGATTGATTTCATGAGCCTACGGTTTTCCAAAAAGGGTAGAGCCTACTTCATTCGAATGCATTTGCTGCACCGGAACATCAACCTGCCCTTAACCCGGATTTGCACAATGTCGTAAATGCCTGAGATCAAATTGACTATGTTGGTTTGCGCTCATAAAACGATTTCCATACTGTCAATGAATAAACGAGAATTATCTTTCACAAACGGAGTAATTTCGAAGTTCGGTCAATTCTAGACCCAACCGGCTCATATTTTGTCGTCGCGACTGGCTGAAAATTTGCATTGTTGGATGCTTCTTGAATTTTTGTCTAGTTGGGCTTTTTTTCACGTGTCATTGAGCCATGCGTCCTGCTCGTGCTGTTTCTCCCCCTCAGTCTGCATGTCGTCACGAGTCCGCCGGTCCACCGGAGTATTCCAATTCGTTCTCCTCGTGTACGCAGTTACGGCAAGCGCAAAGCCTAGCTTCTCTGCCAACTTCCACGGCACTGGGAGATGTGGCCGATACGGGACCACCGGTTGCTCCTACAGAAGACCAATCTGTGATTACCCTGAGTGATATCGGTACCACTGGAACCCAATCGAATTGTAGGTGAGTATCCGACACGAAGCTTGCCTCGATGGACTTTGTGTTTTTTTCATCTACTTGTCGACTTTTTTCACTTACTGTGATCCCTGTCTGCACGATTATGAGTTTGACCGCGATCAGTGAAGTTCGCTTCACTGTATTATGTTGATGATGAATGAGGACGATACATTCCTATGCTATCCCATTCTATCTGTTGGTAAGACGGGGATAGCTCGATTTCTTCATCACGAACCTGATCAAGTAGGTTTGATCGATTGTCAGCGAACAAGATGGGCTTTTGTTAGCAATACAATGGTAAACACTATTCGATTGACTTGTTGGATGTTGTAGCGTCGGAGTGGGTGATACGATTGGACTATTACTAACCGAGACCGAACGATACGTGAGGCAGTAATGACCACGAATAGAACCCTACGACTCAGCGAATGATACACGATTACACCTGACTGCGAGACCCCAACGTGAATCCCAGTGGAACCGTAAAGAACGCCCGGCGGAAGCAGTCTGACCCCTGAACCCGACTAGAGAGAACACGGAAGACAGACCTTCAGGAGAGGTTGTATATTTCGCTCGACCGTAAAGGCGAAGATAGCGGACAACTCATCTGTTTAAATACAGTTTGAAGACCGGCCATCAGTGACCTGTAAAATAGCTCGAATCAAGGGAAAATGGACCAATGAGGATCAATAATGGCCGGTGGTGCGGTGCGCGGGGCCTTTGAATTTGGTCGTGCCTTGTTATCGCGGGATATTATTTCGTAAAGTTGCAGCGGAGGAACGCGTGCTCGTCATTTTTGAACCAATCGTTATATTCTCAAGGTCAAATGTTATCCTACAACGCCAGATTTTTGAAATCCTTGCAGGTTATCGTGCAGAAAGATCAGCTTATGATTTTTTCCTATTCTGTGATAAATCGCTTCAAACGACTGCAAAAATCTGTTTAAGGATACCATAAAAAACACCATGTTGGTTGGCTTGTGGCGCTCAGGTGGCGTTCTGTTGATAATTTGACCGTTCCGTCTATTGTCTCATGTAGCATTCGTTTCCTTATGGGAAAACTGGATGATGTCAAGAGCATGATACACCAGAAGGAATGCAAGAATGTAGGGGCAGTTCTACTCCAGGAAAGCTGGCTACATCCTGATTTTGAGGACAACATCGTGCATTTTGATGGATTTGACATATTCCGAGGCTATCGCATTGTGAACAGAGATGGTGGAGTGGTCACTTTCGTCAACAGGAAATGGTGCAAAAACGCTCGTAAATGTTTTGAATTTCATACTGCCAAGATAAATTGTATCTCTGTTTATTGTAAGCCCCGACTTATCAGTCACTTTCATCATATTACATTAGCGAACATTTACATCGCTCCTGACACGCCTGTTTCTGATATTCGTCTGTTTGTCGACTCCTCTTCACAACTTATAACCGGTTTAGACCAGTCTTTATGCTTTGCTACTGGTTATTTTAATCGCTTTAATATATCTTTCCTTACAACTTTAGGCTTGACGAATCTTGTAAATTTTCCTACTCGAATTGGTGTCCAACTCGACGGGATTTTTGTAAATAGCCCCGAAATCTTTTTCATTGAGAAGCGGGCTCCCATAGACAGCTCCGACCATTGCTCTATTTTTTGCATTCCAAGATTTACGGTAAATATTTTCATCATTATATGAACCGTTCCACATCCAGAACCATCAGAAGTAGAAGTTGCACTCCTGGAAACGTATCCAGACTTAGAGATATGGTTTCATCTACCGATTTCACTGTCTTCCTATGCTGACAACTCTTCCAGTTGTGAGCATCTTACATGTTATCTTAATTTTTGCTATGATCTGTGTTGCCCAGTTGAGACCTTTTATATTCGAACTGACAGATTATCTTCGTCTCTTTTAAAACGGCTTCGTCGTGATAAAGAAAAGGCTTACAAGACT